GAAAGCCAAGGAAGAAAGAATCTAGGAAGTTCGAAACAAACGGTGTGTAAAGGTACAATCTATGTATAACACGGTGTGTACAGTGCAACTAGTCGATGATATAAACGGCTGGGCACTTTCTATTTTCGTCGAATCCACGTTTGTACCACTGAGCTACTTATCAGGTCTCGAACAAGGATGCTATCGTTCACGAGGATCATTCTTTTCATTCAAAGTGGTCCACCATGACTCAATTCCGGTTTTCGTTCTCGTGCTGGAGCTCATTCACGTTTTCCGTGGGGTCGACGACACCGGGGTGGAGAGACTCGTCAGCGTGGAACTCATTTTAAAGCTGCCTTTCCATGAAAGTGTTCCATCGATGACGCAGACCGAGCTGCCGTACGTGGGACCGTGTGTGCGCGTGTAGTCGTGTTTGACAATAGAAAGTTAAGACGAGAGAGCAGACCCGGCTCGACCCGGAAGGAACTCCAATGATGACGAAGTGACCCACATCCTGGCCGTGTGTATGTATTAGCCTTGAGAGAGCAACCAATCTTCCCGCGCTACCATCTTCTGAGCTCCTCGCAATACACCGGAGCATTTTTATTCCCCGATGCACGTTTTCAGTGTTTTCATCATGGAAAAGAGAAAATTATGCGGGGTTATATAATGGGTGACGAAATGACGCGTAGCGAATATGTAGCAAATATTGAATCATCTCCATTTGCATCACTATCGTTGATGTATTACGATTAGACTGCTGATGTTACGCTGTTATATCGAAGTCTACAAAGTGAACATTAATCATTTAATTTATCGTAGACGATATAGATACATTTACATTCTGCAGACATTCATAAACATGCGCAGTTTAATTATGTATCGTCGATAAAAACGATGATGCACGTCGCTTTCTAACAATAAGAGATCTAACCTACGATTACCGAGAGATTTTCTTTCCCATCTGTCCGTGAATTTCAAGGTCAAGGTCAAAGTCATCTTCGTTACTTTCGCAGATTTTCACCGATGCAGCGAAGACTGATGACTCCGTACATATCGTAGCAAATAGTTTCAGAAAAGTTTGAACAATGTACAAACATGTCAAATGAGACCATTTGAAATGTTCACGTATCTCCGACAAGTTTGCCACCGCTGTTCTCAAAGATTCATGCGTCGAGCAAAACGTGCACGAGCAAAAACCATGTGCGCGAGAAGTTGGAAAATAAAGGTCTGGTATCTATATTCCATCCGGAAGTTCTAAAACGAGGACGTCCCAATTTTCTCAGCGCCAGCAGGTTTTACGAAAGTCGGGACGTACGTATAAAAATGTTCGCCGTAACATCAAAGGATATCCAGGCGAGCGGAAACGTGCAAGTATCCTGGAAAGCTGCTTCTGGACCAATCTGGACAGAAATTCCGGGACTGTCCTGCACGACAGAAGAAGTTCGATCGGCTTTTTCGATCAGGCGCATTCAGCGGAAGATTTGATGCAATTAAGGAGCGGTGTTTCGCGGACGGGATCCAATCTCCGGGAAAAAAGCTTGCGCGGGACGTGTAGCCGCGTGTTTAATGATCCCGAGACTGCGCCACAAAGCAAAGGATAAACGGTTCCTTTGAGGAGAACCACCGGCGGTCGCTTTCTTCGCGAACTTCTATTGGAAACTCTTTGTGCCCTGCAGAACGTAGTCGACCACGGAACGGTTGATTCCGGAATACGAGCCGCACGGTCAAAGGACTCGGGAACGCGGTCAAAATTCCGTGTTAGGTGTCGTGTAAAATCCAGTTTGGCTCGATAACAATCGCTGGGAACTCGGCTCGTTCAACGGACCCTCTACTATCGTTCGCTGAATATTAGATAATTAACGTGACAATTCGAACGCATGTTCTAATGAGAATAATGGGATCAACGAAATCAATTACACCGGAAACGGGACGTTTCAGGACAACTATTCATAACATTTATTCCACTGTTCATTATTTCGTCATGAAAGGTTTAACTGTTCTCTAGTAGCGATATTTCAAGAACGGAACGATGGAATCTCAGGTAGAGTTGTAAGTATGGAGTTGGGGATGTTGAAGTCTTGAAGATATTGATGTCTACAAATATTGACATCTAAGGATATTATAATATTACATTATAAGGACATCATAATGTAAGAATCTGAAAATCTTCACATGTAAAGATTTTAATAAACAGAACTATGAAGGTATTACAATTTAAGAATTGAAGAAGTTTGGAGATGTAAAAAATTTGATTTATGATAAAACATAAAAGATGTACTAAAAGCAACTTCCTGGGATGATATAATTTTTTATGGTATTTACGAGCGTTTACCATAAGCCAAACATTTCACGTAGCAGGAAACGCGTGTTAGCTGGTCCGAGAAGGGAAGTCGAAGTTCGTTCGTTTGCGTCGAACCGCAGCCGTAAAAGGGGAAATAAACGGCGAAATCGTTGATAAAAGTGTACACAGACGAGAAAGTAACTCGATTAAGCGTACGTTTCCCGTTCTATCCTCTGCGCGAGTATCGATTGTGATAATTAGAATTCACGGAGATACTTCGGCCGGCTATACGCCGCGATCGAAATGAATTAGAGAATCGAATTTTCGCTAATTCTGACGAAAATGAAATTTCACCCGCTGCCATAGAACGTTTTAACGATCGTTAATGTATCGAAAGTTGATGAGTTGCGAAACGATATTTCGCCGCGCGATTTCAAATGGTCGCCCAATTAGTTGCAGCTGCTTAATTACGAAAGCTAACGTTCGGAAAATCAGACGGTTATTAATAACAGATTCTAGATCGCTGATTGCTCTCTTAATTATTGAACAACAGCATAGGTACAACAATATTTATCAAGAATCAAAACATGAGTGTATTATATTGATGCACTCTGAAACTTTAGATGGTTACACAGACATACATGGCTGTACACATATTCTTCCCTATTACAGTTACACTTAACTACCCCTATATCAATAGATGTTTCCTTTATAACAATAAATATATCTCTAATATCTGTACGTCCTTAAATTTTGATGTTTCAAATAAAATTAGAAATATATCCTTCGCAACGATCCTCTCAGCTCGTTCCTCTTTATGAAACCAATAACAAAACGCGAAATGCTTCACAAAGCATTCTCGAGTCGTTAACAAAAGAATGCACGTAAAGCCAGACGAAGCAAGCCTGCAAAGAAAGTTAGAGCGATTAATACCCAAGGCACATCGGCGAGAAAACGCGTATGAACAATTGGTCAATGACAGCAGCGGCTGTTGTGGTTCTGTAGCATTGCAGTACAGAAATAAGGTCATCTTACAATTCAAGAGCTTGAAGGAGCCCGAACAATATTGCAAAAAGTTCATTGTTCTCGAAGAAAATTATTTCATTCACTTTATTCATGATCTTTAAATTTCATTCTTCTTTTAAATTTTAATAATTCATTCTTTTTAAACTGTGTGTTATAAAATGCGAATCTTTTAAAATTGATGTAAGCTTTTAAGGAGTTGCGGTAAAAGCGCTATTAATATTCATTTATCGATAGTTTGAAGAAAAAGCGGGCCCTATATTTAGACATGGAAAGTCGCGAACTGCGCTCGGTTTCAGGAAAAACGGGCCCTGTAGAAATTGCATTCCTTGTTGCCGTTTAGAAAGTGCACGCACAAGTGGACGTGGATTTCACGGGAATTAATCGACTCGCACGTGGACAGTGCCGTAGCTAGGCCTCTAAAAAATATCAACGTTAATTAAACAGATCCTCCAATACAAAAGTTTAGTAATTTTACAGTTTCTAAAATACCGATGTCCACAAGTGTGTAGACCTCGCTTTCCATTTACAGAAATCTCTGCAGCGTGTTCTGCACAAAAACCCCACGAAAGTTTAGTGTATACCGAATTGTTATAATTAGAAAAATAATGGAGAAAAAGGTCAGTCGGATGATAACAAATAAACCGAGGTTCTCCATGAAAAGAGTGCACGTGACCGGTTTATTTCAGGCTTTTTTTGGCCGCAAGGAACGACGTAATTGCAACGTCCCTGGGTAACGAATGAAAATAGCCGAGAGTTAATTCCATTTTTCCCCGAAACGAGCGAGAAAATGTTTCTTGGCGTTGTTAATAGCGTAAGTGAACAAATTTTAATTTTCCACTTCATGCGAATCGACTCCATGTGGCTATTAACCTAAACAGTTTAAACTCATTCTTAACTATTACATTAACCCGTAACTACAATCTATCAACCCTCTATTTTCAAGCTTCAACTAGTTTGTGAATAAATTAAACGTAACAATATTGCCTTCCTTTACTGTTCAATTTCTATAACAGTTTTTAACATTGCAATCTTACTGTCAATGTAACAAAAAGATCTCCACAAGTTTCAATATGAAATTGTATCGCGTAAAAATGCTTAATTGAAGTATCATTGTACAGATATCGTATAACGTTACACGTAACGCTGATAATGGAATGTGAATTTATTTCTCGAGACATTGAAATGTATGTATAAAGTTTTATTACAACAGATTATTATGGAAGAGATAGAATCTCCACACATGCCTGCTCGGAAGTTATTCAGTTGCTAATGTAATTAAAAAAATGTTAAACCCGGACGTTCAAAGAAGTTCTGAAAGGGTATAATGTGGTACAAGATAAGCTTCGCACTTTGAAAAAAAAGAAGATGCATCATGCTCTCGCGCGACATTTTTAATCAACCAGAAGAAAAGGATAAATTAAACACACGTGTACTTCAGTTTTAAAGAGCTTGCACAAGTACCAAGCGACCCAGAAAGAATTTCAGCTCTCATAAATAAAACATCGAATATAACCGTGGCTAGGATATCTTCGTTAAAAGCGGACGAAATTTCGTCGCTGGAAGCCTTGATGGTTCAACAGAAAATTTTGACGGTATTTGCAAAGCAAAGAAGTAATTGGAAAGTTTCACAACTTTCGTCGACCGAATTTCACGACAAACGAAAGTTACGTACGAGGGAATCAATTTCAATATTAATTTGATAAAAACTCACTTTGATTTCAGTAATCCAGACGCGAAGAAACGCGCAGACAATTATAATCCTCGATCTCCCTCGAATTGCTCTTCTCGCACTATGATTTTCTCGCACTGGGCCGTGAAAATTAACGTTGATAAAGATATTATTAATTGCACTGAACGTTCAGAGTGTAAGGTAGAAATTGTTTGAATGCAGAGAGGATCGTTTGAAATGACGGTACCGTTCGCAAAGTAACGCGCCTTTCGCCGCTCAGTCCGCGCCGAATGACGTTCGTACACTGTCCTGGCTCGGTGCGTTCGACGGTGCCGGCCTCGTATGATGACCCCCTTCTAGAATTCTACGGCCCTGTCGACGTACGCCAACCTCTGGACAACGGCGTAACACCGGGATACGGACTACGCTCATCTTCCCAGATTTCATCTACAAAATTCTCATTTTTATTCGCTTATTATAACATCCTAAAACTACAACATTCTACTACACGTGGCCCCCAAAAACTTACGATATAGATGTCATACAACAGCAGCACAAAGTGGCTTTTGCAAATTTAAAGAGGTATAGATTTGAGAATTTGAAAATGTTGAAATTAGGCATTTGAAGATTCAGAAATTAAAAGATTTTAAAATTTGGTTATTTCAGAATTTATAAACTTCCGATATTCAACTTGGAAAAGAATTCTACAATTTGCAAAAAAAAGATTTACAATTTGTAAAAACAAGAATTGCAAATCTCTAAGTAACTTAGGTTTGAAATATTAGAGATCCAGTCTGAAAATTTGATAATATGAAATATCGATAAAATACTCTTACGGAACAGGAGAACGAATGGCTACCTCTAAATGGTTATTCGCTCCTATTACTCAAACGGAGGGACATAAAAATTGCCGATATAATACATTTGTTGCTTACATTTGAATGATAGATGAAACAGGTCATCGATCGGTCAGGTGACCCAAAACCATTCGGAATTACGCTCCCGTAGTCAACGGCCTATGATCGAGACACGGTCTACCTATCGAAACAATGAATGCATACATTATTGAATCTACCGCCTACAGTTTCCAGTTGATCTATAATTCGCTGAAATTGCTCGCATAGATGTGCATAATAATAAGGATCAATCTTACAATCTTAATAGCATATTCCTGACAATTTCTTCCTCTGGGCTCGAGTATTCCGCATCATTGGTTCCGTTATTTAAGGTATCTGGAAGTTTCAGTCAGTTTTATGGTAGGTTTGAGCTAGATTTGTGTTAAGAAATTAGAAGTTTAGGTTTGAAAATTTAGAGATTAGAGAACTTAGCTCTTACCAAAATATAATCGTAAATGTTAAGTACAAGTTAAGCACGGTTTGCAACATTGTCGATACCTCTCATCTTTCAAGAGTTAATTGGAAACCAAACACCTGTTCTTACTGATCGAACAGATTTACAACCACGCAGTATCTCGGTGAGAAGCATCCTCTGAAAAATATACCTTCGTATACTTCCTTCTGCTTTTCTTGAACTCTAACAAGCTTTCATAAGTTGACCCAATTGCATGTCTCATCCTCTACATCTGAAGAGAATCCGAAGGATACCCAGCATAAGCTAGGAGAAAAATTCATGTGGCTCGCGCAGACACGTCCGGAATTCTATTCTGGAACGTATACCTCCTGCAACTTTACGGTATCTATCCATAGTATTGATTTGCAAAAAAAAGATTTACAATTTGTAAAAACAAGAATTGCAAATCTCTAAGTAACTTAGGTTTGAAATATTAGAGATCCAGTCTGAAAATTTGATAATATGAAATATCGATAAAATACTCTTACGGAACAGGAGAACGAATGGCTACCTCTAAATGGTTATTCGCTCCTATTACTCAAACGGAGGGACATAAAAATTGCCGATATAATACATTTGTTGCTTACATTTGAATGATAGATGAAACAGGTCATCGATCGGTCAGGTGACCCAAAACCATTCGGAATTACGCTCCCGTAGTCAACGGCCTATGATCGAGACACGGTCTACCTATCGAAACAATGAATGCATACATTATTGAATCTACCGCCTACAGTTTCCAGTTGATCTATAATTCGCTGAAATTGCTCGCATAGATGTGCATAATAATAAGGATCAATCTTACAATCTTAATAGCATATTCCTGACAATTTCTTCCTCTGGGCTCGAGTATTCCGCATCATTGGTTCCGTTATTTAAGGTATCTGGAAGTTTCAGTCAGTTTTATGGTAGGTTTGAGCTAGATTTGTGTTAAGAAATTAGAAGTTTAGGTTTGAAAATTTAGAGATTAGAGAACTTAGCTCTTACCAAAATATAATCGTAAATGTTAAGTACAAGTTAAGCACGGTTTGCAACATTGTCGATACCTCTCATCTTTCAAGAGTTAATTGGAAACCAAACACCTGTTCTTACTGATCGAACAGATTTACAACCACGCAGTATCTCGGTGAGAAGCATCCTCTGAAAAATATACCTTCGTATACTTCCTTCTGCTTTTCTTGAACTCTAACAAGCTTTCATAAGTTGACCCAATTGCATGTCTCATCCTCTACATCTGAAGAGAATCCGAAGGATACCCAGCATAAGCTAGGAGAAAAATTCATGTGGCTCGCGCAGACACGTCCGGAATTCTATTCTGGAACGTATACCTCCTGCAACTTTACGGTATCTATCCATAGTATTGCCTGTAGACACGAAAAAGTGCGGTTACAGCAGCAGCTCTGCATCCGCAGAGGTAGGCGAGCCAATAGGCTTCGCCTAGAAAACTGTGCACACGCCCATCTTTCTTACCTTCCATTTTTCCTTTGCCGAAAGGATTCGGTGTAATTCTAGCGCGCCAGCCTGAAAATTAATGTGGTTCGAGTCGGTACGCGAGGAATTCGATCCTCCAACCCAGACCCGTTTCTGCACCTTTACGGTACTCGCGTTATTCTGACTATAGGCATGGAAATACACCGTAAAACCGCGCCTCGTTTGCTTTCCCGTTTCGAATCTCTGTTCCTCGCTTAGCAGTCTACCGCAGACTCACCAGGAAATGTGGAAACGGTATTGTTCGGGAAACGGAAATGTTCCTTAAACTTCTCCCTAAGCCTTACTTCAAATGGAAGTCCTCCAATAGTATGGCTGGAGTGGTTAATGTAACTCGCTACCTAAAATAAATGATTAATTATTAATTCTCTGTACAGTTTAACCGCGGGTCGAATTGAACTGCAATTTACCGCAAATTGAAACACATCGGATTACGTAGAATTGAATTGCGTGAAATTGAAACGCACCGAATCTGATTATGCGGAATTAAAGAACGTTGAATTAAATCGTAGCCGAGTTAAACCGCATCGTTTTTAATAGCAATAATATTTGTAAATAATTAACGAAATAATTACGCGCGCACATTTAAATTGGACAGACCGTATATTTTTCCGAGCAAACTTTACTTTAATTTTGTTAGCTTGAAAACTTTGAGGGTAAGCTGATTTAGAGTAGTGACTCTAACTTAAATACCCGGCTTTAACTGTTACTTCGTTTCATGTAACCCACCAAGAAGCGTAACACCTGCACGCGGTGGTAAACGGCGAGTTGCAAGGGAGATGCTTTGATGCTCGTCGGAATTAAAAAGGCGTCTCTTTGAGCGCGTGTTTGAGCTTTTTGGTGTATGAAAGCTCACGACTGTTCAAACGTGTATGAAGAAGTAGCTCTTATTTAATTAAAAAGCAGCTTTTGATCTTTATGAAATGCTAAAATATTCAGGTAACGCTAGTTATAGATTCGCTTCGCGTACGGAAGTCTAATGTATTATCTCTTGCATTAGGGATATTAATGTATTAAAATTCTGCATCGTCGCGTTCATCAAACTTATATTAATATGCGATCTAATCTAATGCATATCCCATAATTGTGATAAATATTTTAACTATCGTTAAAGTATACCCGCGCAAGCATGCAGTCATAATTTACGTTTAATCGACTGCGAGTTTACACTTTAGTTTGTGCATCGAATTTATTTTGCAGAGACGCGAACCGGATAGACGCAGCCAACACGAGCGTTACCAATTTAGAGAAGTAGAAGGGTACACAGAAAGACGAAGAAGAGAGACACTTCGAGTTGTGCTGCTTCGACATTCCTAGATGGCCCCGGGGCGCTAAACGAAGTACCGTCATTGCGAGGAAAGGCCCAGTGACCGACATTCCCCTTTCCATTCTTCCTGATACTCCTTCGCCCGGATCTTGCCCCGATACTAACGTGTATACAACGACCTGTAGGCGAGCATCGCAACCGGAACTGCTGGAACCTTCGGCCCAAATTTCCGCTTCAACTCATCTGCTTTCTCGAGCACGTGGATATTTCTTCGATATTAACCTGAAAGTATTATATACCGTCAAACTCTCGAATTTAGAAATTAGGATGTTAACAAATCTTCAAATTTAGAAATTTAAGTACTGACTTTCAAATTTACGTCGATAAGCCTCTCACGATAAAACATACACCGAATAATCCATATAGCGAGTCTTCACTGCGTACCTAAACAAAATTGCACGAAAATAATAATTAGAACGTGTATCATTGTTCACTCGATTCGATCTTCATCGTTAAATATCGGCCCACGCGATAACGCGTGCTTAACCGTCAATGCTGAACCGTTGACGGTTACAAAAATTTGTATATATGTATATACATTCATGCACTGTACCTGTTCGAAAGGTTAATGTAAATTTTTCGATGACTTCTGAAGAATCTATTATATATATAAGATCTTTATCACTTAAATATTTATATACTAAACTAGGAATTAATAAACATCTTCTTGGCAGCCACACATTTCATATAAATTGTACAGAAAGAAGAATCTGGCGGTACTTACTGATTTCATAACGCTGTCCATTAGCAAGCTTCGGAAACTTTGGCGGGCTTTTCAAAATGACGCAATATTATCTTGAAAATTGCTAACTAGTTTCGCAAATAAGATTTATTCAGACCTACTATCTAGGTAACATCTAAAGAAAAAGTAGATTTCTCTTTAGCTTTGGTGAAAAAATATTTTATCCCGAGACTTGTTAATAAGTTCGATAATTTATTAAACGTTATTTCATTGAACGATAAAGAAAATATTTGAGAAATTGAACTAAAAATAGACAATTGTTTATAACCAAATGATTCTGTCAGCGCCACCTAGCAACGAAACGCCGAACTATGATTAAAATACCGCGCTATAGCATTATTCCGATGGATAAACAGTTTTATTTGTTCATAATAAATATAATATTTATAACATCTTTATTTTAGCACAGTGTATCTTCTTAAGCTTAATTAAACATTAATGAACATAGAAAAATAATAGTATTCCAGGATATTATGATAAATGAAAGTTTAATAGCATATTAGTTTATTGCGATACACACTATTCGTAATAGTTATCGTTAAAAATTGTACATTATAAAAACAGTTTTCTTTATTTATTAAAAGCATTGCATGGAAAAGAATTTAAAAATTGCTGAGTTTAGCACAATTTCTCTCGCATCTCACTCTTATACAGTTGTAGGGAATAGAAACAAATAAAATGAAAATAAACAGTCGAGTCTCACTTCGCGGCATGAACAAAAAAATGCATTCGATCTCGTTCAAACTCGTATAACTTCAGTACAAATCAGTTTCACTCCACTTTTATGTTGATAACTAAACATAAAACCAACAGAATAAATTCGAATTCTATCAAATGAGGAATGTTTTAAACAATAATATGTAAGATATTCTTGGTAGTATTAGTTGCGCTTAAAAATTGGATACGCGTCTTCTGTGAGCAATTCAAACTCAAAATATCCAGTTTTCAGTCGCTAATACCTTCGAAAATGAAATCACATTTTGTAAAAGTGATAATAGACATCAATCTATTTTGATATGGAGAATCTACGATTTTCAGATTGTACAACTTTTTGAAATATCCTCTATACAATAGTGTTCTTTTTTAAAATATAAGTACTCCTTAGGCATAGAAATTGTGAATATCCTTATTCACTCCTCATCGATCGGTATAAAATATTTGCAACATTCATGCTGAACATAAATTTACAATATTATGTACTAGTTCAACAGAATATATAGTAAATATTATTTTATTTATAATTTGCAAACACGTTTCCCATATTTATCATACTTACTAACAATATTTTTTCAAGATAGTATAAATATAATATAAAATAATGACATTGAACAGAAAAATATAACCTGAAGTCTAAGTATATAAATCAGTATGGATTCAGTCACTTATATCCGCCTTTCGGGATCCGAAGGTTGTATCGACCACACAGTGACAATATCGCGCACAGAATCTCGTCTGTGATGTTGATTTTCCCTGCATTTACTGTCTAACCAACCTCGAATGTTTAATCGGACGATGCTCCTAAATTTGTGCAACAAAATCATTGGCACAGTCGAGGTTTCGGGCGACGTTGATCACTTCCATAAAGTGGTTGGCCTACCCCAGTCATGAGCAGCTCAAGTGCTCATCAAAGAACTCGTGGGCAGAAATTTGAAAAATTAAAATTTATAAATTTCAAGATTCATAAATTTGTAAATTAGAGATCTCTATGGATCTCTGATATCTTATCGTTGCACCACATCCACCGTAAGCTCTTCAGCGGCCACTTGATCTGCCCTTCACCGACCTATCTTATAATTCACGTGTAATTAGAGTATAAAACAGCGACGATAGTTTGCAGTTGCAACCCTTGCAACGCAAGACAGTATTAAAAAATGTTTCAAATCACGTTAAGCATAAATTTACATCAATGTATGCCTTATTCACTTTCTTGTCTAACAACAACGATATAACAAACTGGAGCACCTCTTTTCTTAGAAAAAGATATTTACCAGAATTTATTCCTCGAAATTAGATTTCGACTAATGAAAGGCGCAAAACAATGATTCTTTACGCTACGCAATTGAATTCATGTAATTGAAGCTCTATAGTTGAAGCCGATAAAAGATGATTATTTTTGTATGTCTATATCATGATCTATTGCTTGTTGCAAAATAGCAATACAATTGGCTGTAATGTTTACCGCGTAACTTACCCTGATTCTCTTGCAGCTTAAATGATTATTAATTGTATTTTTTTATTTTTAAATTGTTTCGCTATCTCTCTCAGCTATTATTAACAAGTAAATTCACAAGTAATTATAAACTATTAGTATATATATCTGCGTATAGCATTTTAAACCTCTGACCCATGTTTTCTAAAATCGATTCAATAAAAACTGATAGATCAGACTGTCTTGTATAAAGGAAAGTTAATTACTCGCTAGTGCTGCCATAGCACGAATTAACGCTGCATTTTCCTCTCGAAGCCGTTCTCGTTCTATAGCCATTTCGTGCTGCTGCTGAAGAAGACGGGCCTCGAGAGCCATTATCTTGTGATCCCGATCCTCTAGAAGGGACAGTAGCCTTCTATTTTCTTCTTGTGCCCGTTCAATCAACTGAAATTTCAACAGAAGGAATGCGTGTAAATACTTCGACGTTTCTGCACCGTTGATTAATTAATGAACATTGAAAAAATACTTCATGCGGATTGTCTCCAGTTGGCGTAGGCAGTCTTGGTTTATTGGCGGCGTTGACAGACGTTTGCGGTTCATGATTTCCATGATCTGATTGATTGACACTGTCAGATTGATTTAAGGAATCAAATTCTTCGTCATCTGCTTCCAAATCGGAATGGCTAAAAATAATATGTTAATATTCGTATATTAGTATACGCATGATTTTATATTAATTCGAACTGCCTATGATGTTATATTAGGCACGACCCTTAATTCGTTAATGTTTAAAACTTTTTATCATCTTTCACTTATTTAGTGTTTCTTCCTTGGTTAACGCTTTAGTGTATCACAAGACACTATCCGTAATTTTATGGTTTACGCGATTTTGATCGATTCCATGTGTGTATCATTATATAAAAAGATGTACAAAGGACTTACGTACTCGTTACAATACGCAGGCTCGTATTTAAAAGAATCTACTAGCTCTACCGTACTTCGTACAGGTCGTGCCTAATTGTACTTTGTCACGTACAGTAGCACTTACCAAATGTGCCTATTTATACATGACCTGTAGGAAGTACGGTAATGCCTAAAAAGCAGCAGCAGTTTATTACAAGTAACTACTAAATTTCACTAAAGCTCTATTATATATATATGTATATAGTCACTACCAACTATAGATATCCCAATGTTTTTATACCTTTTGTTTCGCCTTTGTGTAAAGATTTTTGCTGTCCGTTCCTGAAACACGTGTAGTTTGACATACATACATAGTTTCTGTATCATATGATACGACTTTTGACCACACGGACAAATATAAAAATATAAATAAGAGAAAAGAAAAATGATAAATCACACGAACTTACTTCTATGAGTTCATGATCAAGGAACTCATTGTGATGTGTGTTGTGTTTAGTTTCAAGACAAGTGCCACTAAGATCTTCCTCATCCTCTCCTGTACTACCTCCTGTACTCTGCAGAATTAAGTAGCTAACGAAATTACATTGCGGAGTAACAACGGATTTGCACGCACAAACTTTTTGCCAATATCCTTAACGCTCGCGGCCAAAACGCGGTAATCGTTATTATCAGCGCGGAAAAAGAAGCTTTATCTAAGTGCAATACTACTTGTTATACATTCCGTGTGTGTTGCGATTCTAATGTTATATTTTCTAGTAAGATACATTCGCGCAAGACATTGTCAACGTAAATTAAGAACACCAAATTACATTTGAAACAAATGCTCTCGCAAACGAAGTCAAATAGCGATATCATATCGATCAACACAAATATTTAGAGAATAATTTATAATATATATATAGATTGAAAATTACTAACTTTCACATGCAAGCTACAAAAACGACTAAAAAAAAATTTATATCAAAATCAGCATCAATACAGGAAAAATCTTTCTCTTGAAGTCCGGAAAAATGCCGCAAAGAGTCATTAAGATTTTGGGACCCTAACGGGACAGCAAACAGTGACAAACCTCCGTTGATGGCAAATGTACCACTCCTGTACTTCGTCTCTTTTCTCTAAGTTTCCGTCGATCCCGTTGCTGTTTGCCCTTGTTTATATGTGTTGGCCTGTGCAAACAGGATACGACACTATAGACACTAGAACCAGATCCAGAAAGTGTTAGCAAGTTGCTCAAACTCTACACTGGATCTATCTAGCATTATCGGATATTCTTATATGACCAGATGTTACCTCCATGAGCACTTTACTCAAATAACTTTTGGCTTACTCACCGTCCCGTTACCCGCTTGTCCTGCTTCCTCATTATAGGCTTATTCTGCTGATTCTCGTGGTCAGGTGGAAGCACACTGTTAGAACTGGTGTCGCATACTCCTTGAGATTCTTCCACATTCTGTCCACTCTCTACGAATACAACCATTTGTATTCGAGATATTGAATAACAAAAAAATGACAATATAAAACACTGTAATACTTTGAAAATTTATAGAAGAAGAATCTCCTGTCCTGGGTGGAACAACACGTGCTCTAGCAGTCCTGATCCTGGACCTCCTGGATGTAAGTTCAAAGTCATTGTCAAAATCCTCCTGGCTGACGGAGCTAGACGCCATGCCGGTAATATCGCTGTGAAATAAAACGACAATATTGAATGTTGCCCGCCACAGACGATAAAACACCTAATTTTGCAAAATAAATTATAAAATGGGCTCTTACAAAAAATACCTGGACATCTGAACAAAAAGGTGATGATGCGCAATACCTATGTTGGACCAGCACAAAATTGGAAGGCCAAAAAGCGAGTGCTTGGATAGATTTGTCTAAAGGAAAGTCACAAGGTATGAACCGCTATTAACTACGAGCAAATGCGTGCGCAATAAGATGATAACAGAACTTGAACAGAAAAGACACAGCAATTCCTACGGTATTAGTCACCTGTCGGGGTGAGTGTTCTTCACCTAGTTCCACTGCCAATGCCGTGACTCACTACCAACCTATGTGCGACTGACAGCTGTCAACTATTGAAACATCCATAAACACGTACAGCTTGCACGATTACATACTTCAAAGATAGGTAGGTATATCGATCGTCCATGCATCCCAGGTAAAGCAGGATTTTCAATGTTACCACGACAGTGTTCACAACATTGTAAAACATAACTAGACAAATCGCATGGAAGTTACAGCGCCAAGAGATTGAACAGAGTGTAGATAATCAGTAACCAGACATTTTTACCGCCATAAGCGACTGGAAGGTGGCTCCCTCAGCATCAATTCAACCATTGACTAAACATATTTGTAATATTACACTCAGTATATATTTATATACAATTCAATATTAAATTTATTATTATTATTATTATTAATTATGTAATTAATACTTATTAAAAATACATTATCGACGAGAGTTACACTTTTATCTTTCTTCAAAAGTTTTCAAAGTACCGCGCACTTCATCAGTTAGTGATCATGTGCGCATGCGCAGTTAGTCCGGGCACAACGAATCTTTCTGGAGCGGTTTTTTTCGTACGTCGTGTGTGCTTATATTTTCTATTTGTGTACATATATACCGTGCGTGACATAAATATATTTATATCTATTCTTTAGAATCATTTTCGACGAATACAAAAATTGACAAGTTTTAAACTGGTAAGTACGAAGTTGAATTTATTAGTAACGACCGCTCGAACAAATCGAAGTTATTAGAAACTACATCTTGTTACAGATCGAAGTGGTCAGTCGGAAGATTGGTACGATTTTTTTGTGATTGTGTGTCGGTCGTAGATAATTCAATTTACTCGAGTGGAGACATAAGCAGACATGTCGCTGTGCACCGCATTCCAGTTTTTGCATCGCGATTGCGGTAAGTAAAGTCATTTCTCGACTCCGACCAATATACAAGTACTTCGATACTTTGCAAGTCGTAAAGATTATTACGTCCTACGATATCGAATTTTCAGAAACATTATATTTGCAAGCATCGATGTCTAGTATCATAAATGTTATTAACCGTTATACATAATTTTTAATAAGTATTTTACGCGGCAAAATCTTCTTCCGCAATTCTGTTTACATATCGCACCGCCAGATGGCGCTACCCGTTTATTACTCGTTCGAATGTCACTGATGCAAGTGCAATTTTTATTCTCTCTTTTCATAGCAAATAACGATTGTACAATTTATCGAAGACTGTGTATTGGTAGAAATTTAGTGCTTAATTAATTTCTTGTGAACAGCAAATTCATTTTATTTTTGATAATAATATTACATCGATAAAGATCAGTATAACTATTTATTTCTATCGCAATATTATCTGCACCTTTGAATGTCTTCATTTTGAACGACGCGTATTCGCGCGTACATCGAGTTCAACTGCGTTTCCTGCTTCCATAAACGGTATTAACAATGTCAGGAAAAAAAGAAAAGGGACTGGTATCGAGAACTCGTATTCCCATTATCGCGTCACACATCGTTGCCGTTGTGGGAATCGATTGGAACAACAGTGTCTTTCCTTAAGCGCTCTGCATATTGTCACGCTTTCGTTCATCGGCTACAGCTTCGAACCACTTGTACGGGCAACGGTGAACGGCAAACCGCAGTGGAACAAATTTTCCATTGTTGTTTCCATTTCACTGTTATTTTATAGAAATCGTTAGACCCCTGTTTAATGCACGATTTTCTCTTCGAAAGTACCGGACGTATGTCTTCGAAGAGAAACATTGTTCTTTGCCGTTTTTATGTATTGGATCGTTCGAAATTTAGATAGTCCGAGTTGCAGTTCGTGCGTTTGACATACCAAAGTTTCAAGATTTCGATATTCCAAAGTGCTACAATGCAAATGTTTCAAGCTTCTAAGGTTGTAAGATACGAAAACTTGGAAGACTTAAAAATTCCTAAGTCCCGAAACCTGTAGCACCAGTAGGCAAATGAGATGGATACATACGAGCTCCAGCTTCCACGGCACCAGTTTAACGTCCGACAACGTTCATCACCATTTTCCACGGACGACCTCCGTGTAACTTCTCCTGTTGCTTTCTCTTCGGTAAAAGATCAACCGTACACGCGTCTTCTCCGAAGCGTTTTCATTAGTTCTGGCTCGGTCGAATGCAAATCGTGACGATCATTTGTCCGCGAACAAAGCGTCGTTACTACTTCTTTTTTCAATAGCCAACCCGGTCATCTGTCTGTCTGGTCGTCCGGATCTCCTTTCTTTTTGCTGTAATCTATCATCGATATCGTTGATACCCGTGAGTATACACGATGTGTAATGATATTCCGTGGTTAGTAATTAGCGATCCCCCCCCCTGTATCCTAACTCGAATCTGTCATCGTCATTGGCATCGTGTTGCTCTACGTTTTAAGTGTTTCTTTCAACTTGGAAACAAGATTAAATAGGAAAAATTTTCATATCAACTTCTTATAGGGATTTTATGATATCGGGATATATTACTATTGGCGTTTAGGGATATCAGATCTAGGATTATAGGATTTAGGGATTTCGGAATCTAGGCGATTTCGGAATCTAGGGGATTTCGGGATCTAGGGAATACGGGATCTAGGGAATTCGGGATCTAGGGACTTCGGGATATAGGGACTTCGGGATATAGGGACTTCGGGATCTAGGCGATTTCGGAATCTAGGGATTTCGGAATGTAGGGATTTCGGAATCTAGGGGATTTCCGGATCTAGGTATTTCGAGATCTATGCGATTTCGGAATCTAGGGGATTTCGGGATCCAGGGATTTCGGAATCTCGGCGATTTCGGAATCTAGGGGATTTCGGGATCTAGGGAATACGGGATCTAGGGAATTCGGGATCTAAGGACTTCGGGATCTAGGGATTTCGGGATCTAGGCGATTTCGGAATCTAGGGGATTTCGGGATCTAGGGATTTCGGAATTTCGGCGATTTCGGAATCTAGGGGATTTCGGGATCTAGGGATTTCGGAATTTCGGCGATTTCGGAATCTAGGGGATTTCGGGATCTAGGGATTTCGGAATTTCGGCGATTTCGGAATCTAGGGGATTTCGGGATCTAGGGATTTCGGAATTTCGGCGATTTCGGAATCTAGGGGATTTCGGGATCTAGGGATTTCGGAATTTCGGCGATTTCGGAATCTAGGGGATTTCGGGATCTAGGGATTTCGGAATTTCGGCGATTTCGGAATCTAGGGGATTTCGGGATCTAGGTATTTCGAGATCTATGCGATTTCGGAATCTAGGGGATTTCGGGATCTAGGGATTTCGGAATTTCGGCGATTTCGGAATCTAGGGGATTTCGGAATCTAGGGGATTCCGGAATCTAGAGGATTTCAGAATTTAGAGATTTCGAAATCTAGGGGATTTTGGGATCTAGGGATTTCGGGATCGAGGGATTTCGGAATCTCGGCGATTTTGGAATCTAGGGATTTCGGAATCTAGGGGCTTTCGGGATCTAGAGGATTTCTGGATTTAAGGGTTTTGGAATCCTGGAGATTTCAGGATTTCGGGATCTAGGGATTTCTGAGTCTAGAGATTTTTTGGATCTAGGGATTTCTGGGATTTCTGGATTTTTGAATCTAGGGATTTTGGAATCCTGGAGATTTCTGGATTTAGGGATTTCTGAGTCTAGGGACGTTTCAATCTAGGGATTTTTTGGATCTAGGGATATCAGGATATAGAAATATTGGATTATATTGATATAAAGGTTTAGAGATACCAGAATCTAGGGATGTGGAAATATAGAGATATAGGAACATAAGGATATCAGGACATTGGTGTATTATAACCCGGTGATTTAGTGATATAGATACGTAGAGATGTAAGGTTATAGTAATTTAGATATATAGGGATATAAATTTTTCGAGATACGAGAATCTAGATGCATAGGTATGCAAGGTTATGTAATAAATATTTCGACATGCAAGTATATTAGAGTTCGACGATATAGTTCTCGATACAGCACAGTCACGTATCTCGTTTTTATAGCGAATATATTGGATGTACCATGTAATAGTACATCCCGTACATATAATTAGACGTAATTGAAATTTCATCTGTTATCGAGAACGGAGAAGTACTTTCTCTGTTATGCGACCGTAAAATCGTGTTTACCGCGTCTAGCGCTGTATAGAGGATATCTGTCTTCGTGTTATTGTGCTATGACCGTGCCGGGCCTCTAAGCGTAATTGGATTTCTTGTGACGAAGATAATTTATCGGTCAGTTTTGCTACCTCTGCTCTATCCCCCTTCTCATTATCGGCAATCGTGACGCGTAATTACGAATCGTTTACCAATTATAAGCGGATCCGTTTGTTGGAAGCACGGGAATTGTGATTAACACCTTGGTTTATGTTGTGCCGGTTAATTGCGGCAAACGCGACCGGCTATGATACTTTCGCGATAATGCGGGAACGGAAGATACGCGGGAAAGAAAACGGCTTTTTCGTGGACGCGCTAATAGACCTCTTAGCAAGATTATTCGATCTTAAGCATCAAACCTCTTCATTCGTCACATTCAAAAATTCATTCATCGTACCACGATTATAGTCAACGAAGATAAGCTAAAGATAACTTAGGACCCAACCATATAATTTGCGTTAATAAATTGCCACCAAACCACGAAGTGATTTAACACTTTTTTTCTCTCGTCGATGTCCTTTAGCTGATCAGCTCTTTTGTTACCTGTAATCGCGTTTCCTTTCAACCTATTGAATATAATGGGATAATAAGGTATTTGCGTTTGACGAATCGGTCTACATTAGATTGACGTACTTTGACAGGAGCACAATGGGATAACAAGGTGTGATTAACCGGATAATAATTAGATGGATCGATTCCATTTTATCTCTAAACGAAATTTACATGTTAATTTCCGCATCAACACCGTCAGATTCGTGTTAAATAATTTAGGAGTAAATTAACATCTCTAATTCACTCCACTTACTCTCAGTCTCTCAAAGAAATTTGACGAAAAAGTCTCCGTTCATAAAATCACAGGAACCTTCGTTGAAATTTGAATGTGGTTAGAAAAAACCGAAAGGAACAATAGACAAATCGTGGCAATCGTTAAACTGCTGGTACTTTTACGTAATTGCGAGAGAGGATCACGGCAGAGGATTCGAAGGAGCTTAATTGAGGAGAGGATGGTAACGGAT